TTGGATAGTTAGCACTAATTAAACTTCCCATGTGCAACTAAATGAATAACTTAGGAACCTATACCTGAAATAGGCTCCCTGGAATCCCAGGTTTGATTCCCAGCAGGGCTGCCTCAAGCCCTTCATTCTGCAGAGATAGATATGTATTAGTAGGCACATCAATGTAGGCAAGTATCGCCGGACTATGTGGCTCTAGGAAGAAGGATAAAGGAGCTGGAGGCGCAAGTGGTGTTCTCGTCCATCCTCCCCGTGGAAGGAAAAGGCCTAGGTAGGGACCGTCGAATCGTGGAAGTCAACGAATGGCTACGCAGGTGGTGTCGGAGAGAAGGCTTTGGATTCTTTGACCATGGGATGGTGTTCCATGAAGGAGGAGTGCTGGGCAGAGATGGGCTCCATCTTACGAAGAGAGGGAAGAGCATCTTTGCCAGCAGGCTGGCTAACCTAGTGAGGAGGGCTTTAAACTAGGTTCACCGGGGGAAGGAGACCAAAGCCCTGAGGTAAGTGGGAAAGCGGGATACCGGGAGGAAGCACAGGCAGGAATGTCTGTGAGGGGAGGGCTCCTGCCTCATACTGGGAATGAGGGGCGATCAACAGGTTATCTCAAGTGCTTATATACAAATGCACAAAGCCTTGGAAACAAGCAGGGGGAACTGGAGGTCCTGGTGATGTCAAGGAACTATGACGTGATCGGAATAACAGAGACTTGGTGGGATAACTCACATGACTGGAGTACTGTCATGAATGGTTATAAACTGTTCAGGAAGGACAGGCAGGGCAGAAAAGGTGGGGGAGTAGCACTGTATGTAAGGGAGCAGTATGACTGCTCAGAGCTCCGGTACGAAACTGCAGAAAAACCTGAGTGTCTCTGGATTAAGTTTAGAAGTGTGTGCAACAAGAGTGATGTAGTGGTGGGAGTCTGCTATAGACCACCGGACCAGGGGGATGAGGTAGATGAGGCTTTCTTCCGGCAGCTCACGGAAGCTACTAGATCGCATGCCCTGATTCTCATGGGTGACTTTAATTTTCCTGATATCTGCTGGGAGAGCAATACAGCGGTGCATAGACAATCCAGGAAGTTTTTGGAAAGCATAGGGGACAATTTCCTGGCGCAAGTGCTAGAGGAGCCAACTAGGGGGGGCGCTTTTCTTGACCTGCTGCTCACAAACCGGGTAGAATTAGTGGGGGAAGCAAAAGTGGATGGGAATCTGGGAGGCAGTGACCATGAGTTGGTTGAGTTCAGGATCCTGACGCAGGGAAGAAAGGTAAGCAGCAGGATACGAACCCTGGACTTCAGGAAAGCAGACTTCGACTCCCTCAGGGAACGGATGGGTAGGATCCCCTGGGGGACTAACATGAAGGGGAAAGGAGTCCAGGAGAGCTGGCTGTATTTCAAGGAATCCCTGTTGAGGTTACAGGGACAAACCATCCCGATGAGTCGAAAGAATAGTAAATATGGCAGGCGACCAGCTTGGCTTAATGGTGAAATCCTAGCGGATCTTAAACATAAAAAAGAGGCTTTCAAGAAGTGGAAGGTTGGACATATGACCAGGGAAGAGTATAAAAATATTGCTCGGGCATGTAGGAATGATATCAGGAGGGCCAAATCGCACCTAGAGCTGCAGCTAGCCAGAGATGTCAAGAGTAACAAGAAGGGTTTCTTCAGGTATGTTGGCAACAAGAAGAAAGCCAAGGAAAGTGTGGGCCCCTTGCTGAATGAGGGAGGCAACCTAGTGACAGAGGATGTGGAAAAAGCTAATGTACTCAATGCTTTTTTTGCCTCTGTTTTCACTAACAAGGTCAGCTCCCAGACTGCTGCGCTGGGCATCGCAAAATGGGGAAGAGATGGCCAGCCCTCTGTGGAGAGAAGAGGTGGTTAGGGACTATTTAGAAAAGCTGGACGTGCACAAGTCCATGGGGCCGGACGAGTTGCATCCAAGAGTGCTGAAGGAATTGGCGGCTGTGATTGCAGAGCCATTGGCCATTATCTTTGAAAACTCGTGGCGAACGGGGGAAGTCCCGGATGACTGGAAAAAGGCTAATGTAGTGCCAATCTTTAAAAAAGGGAAGAAGGAGGATCCTGGGAACTACAGGCCAGTCAGCCTCACCTCAGTCCCTGGAAAAATCATGGAGCAGGTCCTCAAAGAATCAATCCTGAAGCACTTGCATGAGAGGAAAGTGATCAGGAACAGCCAGCATGGATTCACCAAGGGAAGGTCATGCCTGACTAATCTAATCGCCTTTTATGATGAGATTACTGGTTCTGTGGATGAAGGGAAAGCAGTGGATGTATTGTTTCTTGACTTTAGCAAAGCTTTTGACACGGTCTCCCACAGTATTCTTGTCAGCAAGTTAAGGAAGTATGGGCTGGAAAAATGCACGATAAGGTGGGTAGAAAGCTGGCTAGATTGTCGGGCTCAACGGGTAGTTATCAATGGCTCCATGTCTAGTTGGCAGCCGGTATCAAGTGGAGTGCCCCAAGGGTCGGTCCTGGGGCCGGTTTTGTTCAATATCTTCATAAATGATCTGGAGGATGGTGTGGATTGCATTCTCAGCAAATTTGCGGATGATACTAAACTGGGAGGAGTGGTAGATACGCTGGAGGGGAGGGATAGGATACAGAAGGACCTAGACAAATTGGAGGATTGGGCCAAAAGAAATCTGATGAGGTTCAATAAGGATAAGTGCAGGGTCCTGCACTTAGGACGGAAGAACCCAATGCACAGCTACAGACTAGGGACCGAATGGCTAGGCAGCAGTTCTGCGGAAAAGGACCTAGGGGTGACAGTGGACGAGAAGCTGGATATGAGTCAGCAGTGTGCCCTTGTTGCCAAGAAGGCCAATGGCATTTTGGGATGTATAAGTAGGGGCATAGCGAGCAGATCGAGGGACGTGATCGTTCCCCTCTATTCGACATTGGTGAGGCCTCATCTGGAGTACTGTGTCCAGTTTTGGGCCCCACACTTCAAGAAGGATGTGGATAAATTGGAGAGAGTCCAGCGAAGGGCAACAAAAATGATTAGGGGTCTGGAACACATGAGTTATGAGGAGAGGCTGAGGGAGCTGGGATTGTTTAGCCTGCAGAAGAGAAGAATGAGGGGGGATTTGATAGCTGCTTTCAACTACCTGAAAGGGGGTTCCAAAGAGGATGGCTCTAGACTGTTCTCAATGGTAGCAGATGACAGAACGAGGAGTAATGGTCTCAAGCTGCAGTGGGGGAGGTTTAGATTGGATATTAGGAAAAACTTTTTCACTAAGAGGGTGGTGAAACACTGGAATGCGTTACCTAGGGAGGCGGTAGAATCTCCTTCCTTAGAGGTTTTTAAGGTCAGGCTTGACAAAGCCCTGGCTGGGATGATTTAACTGGGAATTGGTCCTGCTTCGAGCAGGGGGTTGGACTAGATGACCTTCTGGGGTCCCTTCCAACCCTTATATTCTATGATTCTATGATCACCATCGCCATGTTACAAATGGTGAAAGGAGACAGAGCAAGGTCAAATGACTTGCCTGAGTTCACATAGTCAGTCACTGGCAGAACCCACATCTCCTGATTTCTGGTTTGGTGCCATCGACACTGGACCAAGCTGCCTCTCCTAATGATTTTCAGAATTTGTCAACACAAGTGCACAAATTTAACATACTCAGGCTATTCCGTACTCCTCTACCCTTCAGTGTATTTGTTAGTCAGGGCCAATTCCCACAGCCTTTCTTCAGGGGAAACTCCGTTTTAAAGAAATAAGTTTTGGTCCACATAAGCAATGCTAGGACAGTCAGCTGGTGCCCTAATAGGTGAGAAAGACCAGCCTCAATGGTGGATTTTCCTGCTAGTTGATTATAGGCCCTTTAACCATTATATTAGAATAGGTGAAAAAGCAGAATTCCGAGCGGGAATGATAGACCAGTGAACTATGTGTTTGCATTACCTTGCATGACTAAAGGATTCAGCATATGAGTCACCGAGCTGAAAATACGCAGCATGGCAAGGGTTAAAGCAGGACAGATGTTTGCATGATTTCAAAGGTGAGCATCGGGGAATGATTGGGTTTGTTTCCAGCTGGATGAGATCATTGAAGACTCTCCATTTCAAAGCTGTTTGCCAGTATGGAAGAAACTCTTGATTGTGTCTGTTATGGTGGATCATCATACATCTGTGGCTCAGGGTCTCCACATATGCCAGCATGAGCCTTTGTACCTTGTCGCTTTAGGGGGAGAAACTCAGGCCCTTTCCAAGCCTCATTTTGTGCCATCCCCAGTGGAGTTTGGCACTGCAGGATTGGCGGACTCACCCCAGCTCCCTAGACAGTCAGCAATGATTCTTTTTCACATTAACAATCACATCCAAGTTACAGTTGAAGATAAAGAATGTATAACTTATTTAAGAGAGAAAATAGATTTAAAAATGAAGAAAACCATTTCTTCCTATGCTCATAAATACTCAATGGCTGCATACTGCACTACTGCAGGGCAGAGAACACACTTTTTGAAGGTCAGAGGTTGAGGTAATCTCCCATCTCAGAACCCATGCTTGTGTGCTTTGCTCTGCTCTCTCTCTCCCAGTCCATACCAGAGTTCCTTGGAAAAGTAGTGTCTTCTCATGTCCCTAAAATCTAGTTAGGTCTCCCTAGATAGGGAAGTCCATATCCGTGTTTTCCCCAGCACACTGCTCTTTTGACCTATATTCTCCAGTCTTCACTTGGAAAGCATGGAATCAAAGGACTGGAAGGGACCTCAAGAGGTCATCTAGTCCAGTCCCCTGCACTCATGGCAGGATTAAGTATTATCTAGACCATCCCTTACAGATGTTTCATCATAGGCTCCCCTACTTCTTAGAATGTCTTCCAATCAGTGTATAGAAAGCCTCTAATGTTCTCTCTACAACAGCATTTCAGGTGATACCAGAATACAAATATACAGCAAGTGATTGTCTCTGTGTTCAGAGATAGCCATCTGCTCCCGTGGGACAGAGAATAACTGGGTGAGAGAAATGCGTTCTTATTTTTCAGAAATTTAAATACGACAGATTCCTCAATGCAGACAAAACAGAGAAAAGGGATTTCTATAAAGGAGGGGAAAGGCTCAAGTATTACAACATGCCGTGGGGAGCAGGAATTAACACATGTATTGGGAAGTTCCATGCAGTCAATAGCATCAAACAGTAAGTAAATACAAAGAGTCTATGAAACTTAGTTATTCTGGCCATTTGTCATTTTAATATCCAGGATAAGAACCCTCTTGTTCTATAAAACTTGGACTTCCGTTTAAAAAAAAAATAGCAAAACAAATAATATTTATCTAATGCCTCCGGCATCTACTTTGTATAAATACAGGTTGAGACCATTTGTAAATTCTGTATCTACTCTTCAATAACCCATATAAACTCTTCTGGAAAACCGTATTTATTTATTTTTTAAATAAGTATTTTTTTAACACCATAGATCACAAAATCTCCAAATGATTTGTGAATTAGTTATTTATGCTGCATAGTATATACTGTGGTGGTAGAGAGGAAATGCTCCCAGGCCTTTCAGTCTACTGTAACTTCATACATATACTGCATACACAAAACTACATCAAAAGAACACGAAGGTTGTAAAGTCAAAGTTATATTAAGGATGCAAAACTTAGGAAAGTCCAGAATTAAGTTTTCGGATGCAACCTGCATTGGGCCCCATTAGGATGCATGCATTAGGATACAATCTTTAATGATATGATCACACAGTATTTTGTCAATAGCACTCCCTCACTTTGTACAATGTATTTTTCCCTCATGTCATTCTTGGAAATGGCTAAACCATTTTTTTCTGAAATTTTCCAAAATAATTCAGCTGGTGGCAGGCACCTGGCATGGAAAAGTCCAATCTGAATGGGTAACGATTGGCAAAGTCGTAAGCAACTGAAAACTGGGTGTTAATAATAGGAAGTATCAGGCAACCTTAACTACAGTCAGAACTACCAGTTCCCTCTATATTTGCCTTCTAAGCAAAGAGAAACTAGTAGATTGTCAATATCATATACTTTACTGACCTGGTCATTTTATCATTTTAGGTTTGTTTTCATCTTGTTAACCAATTTTGACTTGGAACTGAAAGATCCTGAAGCAAGAATCCCAGGGTATGACAAGGGAAGATATGGCTTCGGAATGTTACAGCCGAAGAATGACATCATGATTCGATATAAACTGAAAGATTAGTAAAATAGCAATGGCTTCCCTTCCATCATCCAACTGGTCTCCTCTGTGTTCCTCTGGTTTTTCTGAGAACTGTCATCGAACTGGTTCTAGATCCAAGTAGTATACTTTGGCTTTATTAATTAATCCATTGGGCTGGGGTAATGGTAGCAGTTAGAAAGAACATTAAAAAAAAAGTCACCATTATGTTGGCTTTGTACCTGCTAGACTACAGCTTTAATGCTAACTGACTCTAGTTAATAGGGGAGCTTCAACACACCATACAGTCATTTTTAGTAACTAACCACTAGATAAAGTCAAAGTGAACTTTACATCGTGGAAGCACATTTCAAGGGAGAATATAGCTGTCATAAGCTATTGTGTGTAACTCTCAACCAATTTTGCACATTCATGGAATTTCTTGCAAATCTTTGGGTACAACTAAATATATCTAGCAAAGTCATGACACAGAAAGCTGAGTGTTTATTTCTGAGTAGCTGGGCCATGGCATCCATACAGAGGGTTGGTCTTCCTGCACACCAGCATGAGAGAGAACTTTGGAAAGGAAGATACACTTGAGTGAGTCAGCATCATTAAGCATAAGGTGTCTTAGTGGCACTATCTGACCATTTTGACTGCTGAAGGTAAGGGGCCATTCCAGATCATAGGTTTACAGCCCAGATTATGGGCTGCCCAGACAAACTGCACACAGCACAGGTAGGTAGGAGGGGTGTGTGGTGCAAGAGAGAGTGTTGGAAAGTGACATAATGTTCACCATTTGCATTCTCCTGATCTTGGAGCTGTTGAATGCAGGCTGGTCCCCTTTGGGCTGCTCTAATTTATGGAAGATGTTGATGGCTCCAAAGAGCTGCTGCCCTGTGCCCCCTTTCTTCCAGCCATGCCAACTGCATTGGTAGCAGGGAGAGGCAACAAGGAGGAGAGTTGACATAGAAGCCTCAGCACTGACTCAATGCCACTGAAGGATTCCCATTGTATGAGGCTGACCCTTCTGTCTGTTTATGCTTCGTTTGTGTCCAGAATCCCCTGACAGTGCAGTGCAAAGCCATTGCATCTGTTCCTGGGATCATTTCTGCACAAGAGCAGCTTGATTTGCACATGTTCTCCTCTCAATTTATTTTTGTAAAGAAAATATTTTGGAATCCTTTATTTTTTATTTCAATTTCCAATGGAAAATCATTAATCTATTTTTAACTACAAATATCTGGAAATCATTCACCTAGTGCTGGGTGCTTTTAGAGAGACATAAGCAGGTCTATCCCATTTAAAGTCTATGAACTGAGAAATGTTATGCTGTTTCGTTTATTTTAGCAGAAAGAAGATATATGCATACACATGTACCCAAGAATCGCCCCCTCCACACACCCACATGCATATTCATGTAAATAAAGTTATTCTTTTAGTTAGACAAAAAGCTACATTAAAAGAATGGTAAGGTTGCAAAATCAGACACAAAGTTTGGAAATGCTAGAATGAAAGTTATCTGTGCAACTTTAACTCAGCCCCCTTGTGCATATGCATTTAAATAAAATATATACTGACATGATCAGATATTTTTATACTCAGTTTTCATGGGCAATACCATCCTGACAGCCACAAGTCAGCCATATGCAGGAAAGAGCTGATAACATTTGACACTGTGGCACTGTAAGAACCAACCCTTTTACCTCAAAACTTTGAGAGTGAAGTTTTAACAAAACTTTGTTTTCATTACAGGAGGCAGCACTTTTCTTTATGGTCCTGAAAGCAATATACAGCCTAAAAATCTTGCTATTACAATAGAGGTTTCTTTAACCCTCTCTTCTGCAGTGTGGCTGGGGGCCGTCAACCCATCTTAACTAAGATAACACACTATTGTAGCTTGGATATTTCCTTTAGCATTATATACATTTACGATACCCATTAAATTCAACCTGGTAATAGACCTATTAGCTGCTACCCTTTGCCTTCCTAAAGCAATCTCTTTAAAAATCCACATTTTAAACAGAGCAGCTGCTGGCTGGAGAAATGAGTCTAAATTACAGCTGGGAAAGGCACTTTAATGGAACTGATCATCTCTCTCTTAAGTCGTTAGTACATTTCTTTAGAAGAATAAGTTTTATGCTGACCTCATGAATCCCAGAACTAGCAGCTCTTAGACACCACAGTCTGGTAAGGAGGAGGTCTGTCACATCTGGTACCACAGATCCAGAAAGGACCATGTTTGACCTATAAGCTCCTAAGTTGTTTAGGGCCTAATACCTAACAGGTTATCTTTGTCCTCTGTGATACCACAGCAGCCATAGTCAGCTCTGTACGTTCTGCAGTGAGACCAAGAGGACCCTAAACAATGGCTCCCCTTCTTTAAGGCAATGTCCTGTCTCACTGGTGCGAGGACATAGGGGAGATTGTATCAGTTTCTGAGCACACTGGGGATCCATTAGCCATTGTGGTCACACAGGCAGGATGACTAAGGGTTGCTGGCGGTGCTGGCTGGGAAGGGGGAGGGAGAGGCTGGGTGTACTTTACTACTGCTCCAGAAAGAATGGTGCAGAGGAAGGCTGGGGCCAGGACATGCATCCAAGCAATTAGACTGTTCCATTGGCGCCATGGTGTGTCACTGAGCAAGCTGTCTGGATCCCCTGCCTCGCTGTCAGGAAGCTGCTAGGTTGGCCTGCTACTCTACTGCTGTATCTTCTGGGTGTACTGAGGGTAGGCTCCACTCCAACGTGGCCTCTCAACACAGCCCGTGATCTGGCCCTGGAACTTACTCCTGGCAAACAGTTTAATGTAGTAAAGTAAAATACATCAATGACTTCAAACAGGGTGAGAACAAGGGGACCGAAAAGAAAAGAAAATTATTCCATTCCATAATGGACAGTGAACAAAGAGGGTGAGAGTCACGTAAGCTGCTGAGTTGACACAAATTTCTGATCCAGAACAGGCTGCAGCTCTATCTAGGACCTCATATAGCCCTCATCACCGTAATATCTAAGCATGAGTGTTAATGGATTTATCCTCATACCACCCCCTACTGAGTAAAGAAGTGTCATTATCCCCATTTTACAGATGGGGAGCTGAGGCACAGAAAGATTAGGTGACCACAGGGAGTCTGTGTCAGCGTCAGGAGCTATATAGATCTTTTCAGTCCCAGTCCATTGCCTTAACTGTAAGACCTTCCTTTAGTCAAGGATGCTTGAAACCAGCCTTTTGGCTTGGCCTAATCGCGCTACCTTCTGTATCCATGGTATAGCACAGTACTGCCTAAAATATGAGTGGTTAGAAATGGAACAGTACTATTAGCTGATCTAGGCAGTGCCCTGTCAATTCAGGAATGTTCCATACAGGACATTAACTACGGTACATAGCATCTTACCATAATCTTTCTAAAAAAATAAATGATAAAACTAACTTGTATGTAAGTTTATCTGACGGCTGCAAAAACAGAGATGATCCTGATGCTGTAGCAAAAGGAGAAAGGTGTTTAACTTTCATTAATCTGAGCAGTGCTATCTTAAGTTAATGGAATGATCCTGTTGAAAAAGATCAGATTGTGAAAATCAAATGAATCATGAGCATTGGAAGAAAACAAAGCATTTTTTCAGGGAAAACTATTCTTTAAAACCTTGCAAATTAAATGCTCAATACTGAAAGGCACTGAGTGATTTCTGCAAAGTGTTCAGTGCCCATAACTCTGGAACAATGCAGTGAAGTAACAGAACTGCAGGTGCTTAGCATCTCACAGGGTCAAGCAAGTGGCTTTAGTGTAGTTTTTTGCCACTTTAGCTAGAAAGTTAAGATTCTGTTTGCTTCTTGCCCCCCAGGTAAAAGCTCACATTCTAAAATAACCAAGAGATGAGAAAAGGTAAAATGAGACGGCACAGTGACACAACCCTCTGAATTTCTGAAGGCTTTTCTTTTGTATTTGGAAGAAAAGATAACCCAGTAATTTTTCATACTGTTATAGGTGTGATGTGGCAAGGAACTGTCACTAGGAAAAAACCAGCAGCTGTATGTGATCCTCTGAAATTAATTAACATTGTACAGTGCACATTTCTGGCAAAAAAGCACACAAGGCAGTTAATCAGATAGATTATAAATACATGATAGCTGTATTACGAAGCTTAATATATTGTATTGAAAGGATACTTCTGTTGCAGTCCATGATCTAAAAAGGATTACAGCTGTTAGGCTTTTCTAAATCTTTCTATGAACAAAGTATGTTAAACAGGCCTTACCCTGCATCTCGGTGGGTGTTGTTTTTTTGTGTGAACTGATCAAGATAGACTTTACGTGTCTTTAGCATGGGGCTGAGACATGCAGAATGCCTCTTAGCTGATGTGATCCTACGATGAACATTAGCCAGTGATTCTGACGCTCAGGAGCCATCTTTGTTTATAGATAGATATATAGATTAGATAGATCATAGAATCATAGAATATCAGGGTTGGAAGGGACCTCAGGAGGTCATCTAGTCCAACCCCCCTGCTCAAAGCAGGACCAATCCCCAACTAAATCATCCCAGCCAGGGCTTTGTCAAGCCTGACCTTAAAAACCTCTGAGGAAGGAGATTCCACTACCTCCTTAGGTAACCCATTCCAGTGCTTCACCACCCTCCTATTGAAAAAGTTTTTCCTAATATCCAACCTAAACCTCCCCCACTGCAATTTGAGACCATTACTCCTTGTTCTGTCATCTGGTATCACTGAGAACAGTCTAGATCCATCCTCTTTGGAACCCCCTTTCAAGTAGTTAAAAGCAGCTATCAAATTCCCCCTCATGCTTCTCTTCTGCAGACTAAATAATCCCAGTTCCCTCAGCCTCTCCTCATAAGTCATGTGCTCCAGTCCCCTAATCATTTTTGTTGCCCTCTGCTGGACTCTTTCCAATTTTTCCACATCCTTCTTGTAGTGTGGGACCCAAAACTGGACACAGTACTCCAGATGAGGCCTCACCAATGCCGAATAGAGGAGAATGATCACGTCCCTCGATCTGCTGGCAATGCTCCTACTTATACAGCACAAAATGCCATTGGCCTTCTTGGCAACAAGGGCACACTGTTGACTCATATTCTGCTTCTTGTCCACTGTAACCCCTAGGTCCTTTTCTGCAGAACTGCTGCCTAGCCACTCAGTCCCTGGTCTGTAGCAGTATATGGGATTCTTCCGTCCTAAGTGCAGGACTCTGCACTTGTCCTTGTTGAACCTCATCAGATTTCTTTTGGCCCTATCCTCTAATTTGTCTAGGTCCCTCTGTATCCTAGCCCTCCCCTCCAGCGTATCTACCTCTCCCCCCATTTAGTGTCATCTGCAAACTTGCTGAGGGTGCAATCCACGCCATCCTCCAGATCATTAATGAACAAAAGCGGCCCCAGGACCAACCATTATAGATACGATCTAAATGGCCATAATTTGCAGGATGGGCAAGCTGGTGTGTATCAAATTAAAATCAAACCTCACACTGAAATGTGTGAGGTT